GTGTGGTAATTAATAGGGAGTCAAGAGTCGGCCACGGCCAGGTTGTAGAGGTAACACGATGTGAACCCCATAGAGAGTGACCACTGTGTCATTATACTTTCTCCAATGTTGCATGCTGAGATGTTACAGGTTCCGTCTCTTACCCATCAAGAATGCCCTACCAATTGCCAGGACCAGTACGAAGGTGTAATATTTGTCAACGGGCAGTATGTCAATTTAGTCTCTTTCATGGCAGCGCTCGACCCTCAAGCTCAGACCTTACGCTACCATTTGTCCATCTTCTGGCGATTGGATTTTTTTCAGATGTTACCATTGGTTCCTGATGTAAATCCATGATTCGTCTAGACTGACCATGCATGCAAAGCCAAAATAAGAATGCATGCGAAGAGAATAAACAACTGAATACTTGTTATTTGGTTACGTGACTCCTTGCTAAAACTAATCTTAAATAAGTAAGTAAATTTGAGTTTGATTTTCTGCGCAACTGCACAAGCAGGACCATTAGATTGGGAAAGCACATGTTGGTTTTGTTGGTTTAATATAATTTAAATTGCATAACACATTTCTAATGTAAGTATTTGCAAAAATATATATTGGGAGAATGGACAATTGTATAACTAACAACTAATGAATAATTCAATCTAACAATTATAAAAAGGGTGTGGTTATAGTCATAGAAAATTTAATTTTTTTTTAAATAATTAATTATGATATTTAAAAATATCAATTTATAAGTTGAATTTTAATATGTTGAAGAAGTAACTATAAGTTGTTAAATTAGTTATTAGATGACAACAAATATTAGTTGCTTTTAATAGAGAAATCAAACAAAACCTGTATATATTGAGAGGTCCCAGGTGACCTATTGGTCACCTACTTAGTTGTAATTCTCGTATAAATTAAGATGTGAGATTCAAATCTTATTTTGTGTTAAAAAAAAAAAAAAACCTGTATATTTGAAGACTCGCTAAAAAATATGAATAAGAACCAAATAAAAATGATCTATTTCGTATGTGAACAAGTACGTGAACTAGCTCAAAATTTTGTCCTGTTCTGCTCCTCCGGAAATAAGTTTCCATGGCATTGCAAGTACATTCCGAGCCTGTTGGTGTACGTACAACAAATATTTCAACCAAATAAAAGACAATTGTGGTGATTTCTGCGAAAACCTGGAGCAGGAGGCTGGCTGCTCATGGCACGATAAGGTCTACGTGGGGTATGAACTGTGCATCATTTACCTCAGCCTCATAAAAACATGAAGTTCACACTGAGGTAAATTGACTACGCTAGCCCACTAGATGAAGGATCACGTGGCAAAATCTCATCTTGTTGATTCCCTGGAATTAATAAAGGAAAGCTGTGATGCTTCTTCAAGATGCAAAATATTAGGTTGAGCTGAAGACTATAGTCTTTCCAAGAACAAAGGTAACCAGAGAGAGTTCAATAAAGAAGATTGTGTTGAGGAGACCTCTGTCTATCGTCCATCCATATAGAGTAATGCCTCCAGGATTGTTCTGTAAGTACATTACTGCATGCATAGCCGAAATGCATGACAAAACATAAGTAGTGTACACATAATGAAAAGCACCAACAATGAACATATGGTTGGGTAAATCTAGTCAATAAAGAGGGAAAAGAAAACCATAAAAGCAAGAGTGTACAAGAACATAGCTGTTGGATAAATCTAGTCAATAAAAAGAGATAAGAAAACCATAAAAGCAGGAGTGCACAGTATTCCATTATTCAACTTCTAAATTTGACACTTACGAAGGAGCCACAATTAAAACTAAATCCAATAAAAATTGAGTTTTTATGCTGTCTAAAAATGAGAAGAATCATGTGGGAATAGAAGTATGGAACTAATCCTAATCTACATCTATCTGCTTATATGTTTGGATTAAAAGTTTGTTTAATGATCCTAAGATTAGTCTAGCTACCAGTTACCCCCATTCATATAATTAAAAATTAAATCTTAATAAGCATCCTAGCCCATTATTTTTCTTAGCTTTCTTGCCAAAAAGGATTATTATAATAAAAGACTGTTAAGAGATTAAAACTGTTATTGATTCTCCACCTAACAGCTTAAGTATTTAAGTTGAATGGTTTTTCAGAAAAGTGACATAAAGTTTTGAAGGTCTTTTGTAAAATCGAGGAAGAGTGGATAACCAGAATTATGTCAACTGAAAAAAAGATTGATTAATTCTCTTGGACACCTCAAACACAAAATTAAAAGAGTATTTGTTCCAAAAAAAAAATTATCTTTTCTTCTCTTATAATGTATAACTTACCTATATTTTAAAAATACCATGCTCTCTATGCATGACATAAATCAAATTTAGTGCAGCTAAAAAATAGTACAGCTTACAATATCAAGTTAGAAATTTGAGACCAGTTGAGAGATAAACACTCCATGCAAAGAACAGATACTGTTATTACATAGTTCAGAAAAGAAAAGAAAAGAAAAGGGGAAATAAACTAATATTATCTGAAATATACTAATGGACAAAATTAGTACTTAAGGTAGTGCTTTCAATTATTTCTATCACCACTTCTGAACAAGACAAAATTTAATCTTGGAAATAACTTCAAAACGGAATCCTATGAAGCTACACAGTAGCATAGGAAATAAATGTAAATGGTTATCCTGCTGAGCTAGAGCAAAGCATAGCCACAATTATGCAAAAAGTCAACTTGACCCACAATGATCGAACTTAGCGCACATGCCTACTACATCATTTCATGCTCAAAAACAATTAGAAGTAAAAAGTTCTATAAAATCCTAAGTGTCACCTTTCTTCTCCACATGGTTGGTAATCAATAGAATTAGATGCTATAAAAATGGATATATTTAGAGATCCTCCTAGCAAATTTTCTGTTCTGTATGGTAATCATAGTATTTGACAGCCTGGCAAAGTGCCTTTGATTTAGGTGATACAAGTCTTGAGAAGAATAAAAGGGTTTCATTCTGACTTGATGCAAGATATGCATCATGGGCAGAATTAAATAGATAAAGAGTGTTTTCTTGTGTGCTCTTTTGCATGCCTGTATGCGTAAGTATAATACCAAATGGCGTATCAATAGAAGCACAATTCTTAATTTTAAATGAGAAGCAATGAATAAAAAAAGATATGGAAACAAATAAATCAAATTCCATACCAAAGGCTTGTCTCCTGTGATATGAAGACAGATATGAAGCTAATTGTGCATGTGTTGGAATGGCAACATAATCCATTGATTCCAAGTCACTCTCAGAATAATTCATATAAAATGAGTTGTGAAGAGCTTCCAAGTTCCCTGCACTGTTTGAAATTCTTAGTTGAGATGTGTCAGTTGAACTGCATGTTGCCAATGCATGCCATCTACTTCCAAGAGATGCAATGCCTTGGGCTCTATGAGAAATTTTTGTGGCTGCATGCAAACAAAGAATTATCCCAACAACCTGTACTACTGAAGAAACCTGCAACCCCATAGAAGAAAAGAGGCAACGAACTTAGACTTCCAATTTAATATATTGATGATTATGGAAAGTCTTAAAGAAAACATGCATAAAAAGTATGAAAGTTGCCAAATTATTGGGGTAGCAACTGCTAATGCTAAAGAGTGTGGTCAGATTGCAATAATGAAGCCTAAGGAATGTGAAAGCTTGAACAATTTAATGCTTTTAAAATGAAAGACTACAGAAATAGTATATAAAGAAATAAATATCTGGACTTACAGCAAAATCACCACCATTTATGACAGTAATGACTCCCCTATATTCCGTTGTCTGGAAAAGAGTAACGATTTGGCTAGCTGTGACAACCAAGAAGTCTAAAAGAAGATAAATTCTGAACCTATGGCTTATCTTGGAAAGATGAAAACGTAGACGAATATGCTCCTCTACAAATATCAAAACATCAGATTCTCTTTCCAAGAGCTTTGCATAATCTTCAAAGAGAATAACTTGCAAGTTGCAAACCAAATGAAACAAAATGCTGGCGATTAGACTTATGGTACTCACATAAGTCCACGAGAGAACCAAAGTGAATAAAATAGCAATAGAGAGCCACCAAGATTCGCGTTCTACAAATAACATACGGATGATTTCACGTACAGTCTTTAAAATGAAACATGGCAGTAACCACAATATGAGCAGTCGCATTGACTCCTGTAAAAGTAACTCATTCAAATTAATTTTCTTAGTACAATATGATAGTCTTAAATTATTACAGTCTAACTTCAGAAATGTAATGTGTCATATACCTACATGGTGAGTTTTTCTTATTTAGAAAAAAAATCATTTTGATATCAAAACTCAACAGGTAAGAGTAGTGGTAGAAAATGGGTGAAGCCAAAATTAGGATACCAACAAAAGGACCTTCAAATTGATGGCATTATGCTATAACTAATACACACATAACACATACACATATTACATACATTATAATAGAACCCAAAAACCCCTTTTAGTTTAACTATCATTATTTGGGAGTGGTATTTTAAGGTAATATTAACTTCATGTTTTTCAATATATGCTTCAAATTAATGCTTACCAAAATTGCCTGTGTTTGCATTATTGGAAAAAAATTGCCTTTCAATCTCTTAAGTCATAAGACAATAAACTTTTCTGAAGACTATATTTTGTCTTTATCCAAAAATTCAATAAAAATATAGCGACTTGAATCAAGTCTTTACGTCTCTATCTATGAAATCTGTATTGGAACCTCAATATCATATTAATTTCAATTCTAAAACAGTTTTACAGTTACACTAATTAAGGAAACAAAAAAAAATCAATTTGTATGTATATAGTTAGAAGACAGAAACTCACCTTAATCTGCTTAATGTATTGGTGATTAAGCCGAGCAGTATGGCCATTGTGTCGATCAACAAAAAGAAACTTCCTGATACCATATTTTCTTAGATTATGCGAAAGGCAGAGCAAAGAAACGGCAGCCAAACACGCCTGAGAGGCGACGATTTCGAGCTCAAAATCCTTAATCTGATACTTTTCACAACCGGAGCACTGAGATAACACCAGCGCCAGAACCGGAAGAAAAACGCCGACGACTACAAAAGCGGTCCAAGATAGACACAGACTGAGCGCGGAGGACTGGTTGAAGCCGAGAAATGTCAGAAACATCTCGAGCCATTCCAGCGCCCAGTCAAGATCAGTGCTCTGGTTCCCCTGTTGTTGGTGATGGTTTGAACTGAGAAGCGGCTCTTGGACGGAGGGAGGAGGAGGCTGCGGCGGTAAATGAGTATCCGCCATGAAAAGATCGGACGGGAATGACGCACCGACGATACAGGCGTCTGTCTGAGATAGAGTCTCTGATGAGTAGCACCCGCCGGCCGGCGTTTGATTGGCAGGAACAGCTGTCTGCCTGTTTCGGCGGGTGGTTAGTCATCCGAAGAAAGACTGCAAAAATATGTTCGTAATAATAATATTTTTTTAAGTAATTTAATATTTTTATTTATCGGTAATCGTTTCTTACTGTTTCTTATTGCGTTTCAGACCGTAATTTGCGGATATTCTTTCAAAAATAAATTAAACATAAGTAATGAAAGATAAATCATTATGTTTTAGCACTTAAAAAAAGGGTTGAAGATCTTAAAAAAATGGTTAAAGATGATAATGAAGAAATTAATATATAAAAATATTTATTAAAAAATATTTAAATAATTTTATAATAAATTTTAATATTTAAGATAGTGAGACATCTTAATTTTTATTATTTTTTTAAATAGAAATACAAATATATAGTAGGAATATCTGTGTTTTATTATTGATTGAATTTTTTGTAGTTTTAATATTAAAATTATCAAACTAATTTTATCAAAAGTATGTTGATAATTTTAATATCAAACTAAAGTATAAAAAATACAATTGATACTAAAAAAATACATTTTTAAAATAATAAATAATTAATACATTCTCTACTTTAATACATATCCCAACACTAATTGATTTAATTATTAAAATTTATAATTGAAAATTTTTTATTTTTTAATTTAAATTTAAAAATAATAATTTTTTAATAAAATATTATAAAATACGTTAAATCTAATAATATCTCAATTATTGTCATTTTAAAATACAAATATAAATTTAATGCTTTACTATCTAGACAACAAAACATCAACTATGGAGGACGCTCCCAATCTCTAAGTAGCCTCTTTTAATCCCATGACTAATTATCTGTAAATCATTGTCCCCTAAACCACAAACCACTTTTTCTTACAAATATTATGTTTTATCTTCACATCTTTCCTTGTAGGCTTAGGAGTTAAGAGTGCAAGCATGTCAGATCCAATGGCCCTTGTGAAGCATCAATCCACCAACTTTCGTAGTGCTTATGCTAGTGGCAGCTCCATGTTGAGCCATGATTAGGCACAGACTTTATCTTAACTCTATTTATTGTTTTGCCATTGCCCTTTATTATGAGGAATAGCAAGGCTGTCTGCTAACATAATTTTTTCTTCTTCTTTTGTTCGATGTTAACGTAAAACATTTACTCAATAACCAGATAGAGTTCACACTTGGACCTCATGGCTCAATAATCATAAACCGATTTGTAAGGTGTATCTCTCAGTCTAAAGGTTGGGGTTCGATTCTCCCCTCCTCCATAATTATAACCTTATTCAAAAATAACCCGATAGAGTGCAACATGGACCATTCGATGTGAGGTTGCACTTTTAAAAATTTCTTGAAGAAAACCTAAATCTCAAAATGTATATACTTTTGTTCGACTATACCCCATCTTCAAAACAAATATAAAAAGAAAGTTTAAATATTTTCTTGTTTGGACTCTTTGCATGTAGAGTTTACTACAGTATCTTTGAACTTTAAGAATATATTTGAATAAAAATTAATAAAGAAAAGTAAAGGGAGAAGAAGGGATGAGAAGGAAAGGAAAAACAAGTCAAAAATTAATATTAATTTTATTTGAATAATTGTTTAAAAAAAAAGAGAGGGGAGAGAAGATTATATATTTTTATTTAATTAACTAAATTAAAGAAGAAAAATTATAGCATCAGGTCTTTCGGGTCAAGTGGTCCCCGGACACCTTGAGGTGCATCTCCTTCTTCATTGGATGGGTTTGAACCCCCTCCATGATAACATTATTCAAAAAAAAATTATAAAATTAATTAAACTTTTATAAATTTATATATTAAAATTAAAGTTAAAATAAAAATTTTAGTTATATTTTTTAAAAAATAAAATAAATAAAACAAAAGTAAATTAAATCTCTCTAAATTCCATCAAATTGAAGAAATTAAAAATAAAGAATTGGGAGAGATTCTATCTCTCTCCATCTACTTCCTCCGCTGTCCCCTTTCGTTAATAACTTTATCTAGACAATAGAGAAGAAAGACCCTTTTTTTTACTCTCCTCCCCTTTGCTCTTAACTCCCTCAATCCGAATAAAAGCTAAATATGTTATTGATTTTGTATTCATACACAAGTTATATAACTAAGGACATGAAAATTTACTTAAACAAGCTACTCACGAGTCAAGTTCGAGCTTGGCAAATACCTTATAAGTCAAGCTTGAACTTGATTCTTTACATTCATTATCTCATACTAACTAATCTAATTGTTCATCTTATTCATCTTACTTACATGGGTTATGAAATACGATATACTACTACTACTACACATAACTGAGTTTATTGAGAAGATTACAACTAGGGCCAGATAACTCAAAAGCCTACATCTATAGCTTCTATATATCTCTATTAGATGGAAATGCTATTAGGAATTCCCCGACCTGTTACTCCAGCATCTGATGAGGGTAGTAGCAGTTCATACGGAGGAATCCCAGCACCAGATCTGTTTTTAAGACGTGCATTCTTGTTTCTTTTTCGTATTGTCTCCTCTATTTCCTCTAGTCTTTCAGAGAATCTGTCAAACAATTTCAAGACTTCTTGATCATTGATCCAGTTCCTGTGTAGATGACTCACTTTACCCAAGTACTCTTCGTCAGGGGAGTGAGTTGATAGTGTCTCTTGGACAGCCATCACTTTGGTCGCTTGAAGTTGTGTTGGCAATGAGGATAGGAAAGCATGTTGAGGGTTCAGAATAAGCTTTTCGTAATCAAGGTCATTTTCATCTGGGATAAGCTTTCTCATGAGGGTTGGACGGTTAGGCACATAGCCTCCAAAAGGGTACTGCCCAAAGTTTAGAGCAGCATGCTGACCTGATGCAACCCAGATCATTATTGTGAGTATGCCAGACAAGTCCTCTTTGGTATTCAGTTTAGGCCACCAAGGTTCATTCTTTTTCTCAGGATGACCTTTGTCCTTGATCTCATTCCACCAAGCTTGCAGCTCGACATCTGATGTGACAGAGTTAGGCTCTGAATAGAAGTGTTCAACATAGGATTCAACCCATTCTTTAATCGCAGACCAAATCAGGAGTCCATCTGCAGCATAAGGGTAGTCCTCAATCACAAGCTTCACTCCGCAGGGCATTGAAGGATCCGCTACGGCCATTCCCCTGAAATTTCACCACAACAATCAATCTCTTTGCTGTAAGAAAGGATGCTAATGTTCCCTAGACAGCAACAGGCAAATAGAGAGATCATCCAAAAACCTTACCTCCTAATTAGATCTGCAGGTAATGCGTCCAGATCAAACTGCCACATACTGTCATATGCTGCTGAGCTTATTTCCATGGCATACTTTCCAGGGCTGAAGCAAAACTCAATTATTCCACCTCCGTTTATTAAACCCTGCCTTGCAAGTGCATTGATTTCCAGTGTGTAGCGCATATGAGGATGAAGTAGCTTGTAAATGGGATGCATTGAACTAAGCTGTCTATGTGTTGCAATTATATAAGGTTCCATGCAGGCATGAGTCCTCAACCTAGGAATCCAAGAACCAAGATTGTTTGTTCATTAGAATGCCATATGAAAATAAATATTATTAGATCAAGATCCAGTGATTCGAAGTTTGCACCTCAATGTCAACTTGACAAAATTTTTAAATTTTCCATGAATCCATGGTTAGAAAAGGAACAGAAAAATACAAATGGATTTTTCCCTACAGGAACATGAAACTGTTTCCAGAGTAGCAGTTAATGTTAGAGACAGGGTCCTGAATTTTTCTAGGCCAGGAGCCTCTCCGATGGCAAGGACCTTAGCCCTTCAATGGGGGTTAGATTCTTGTGTACGGGATTGATTTTTAAGTTGTTGTAAAGCATTACAATAGGTGGTACCCTATTACAAAAGAAGCAGCCACTTTACATGTGCTGCTTTGTTTATCATTTTTAGTCGAATGAAATTTATATTTCATCTAAAATGGAAATCCAAGAATCTGAAACTGCTAGTATAATTTACCAGTGATTAACTAGCTGGTGAATGCCGGCATCGTTGGAGCAAACATGAGCTTTGGCAAGCTTCCATATCCAATGCGTAGTTGCATCATGTCCCTGAGTATAAACATGCTTGTTTCGGGATGAAGAACGTGTTGGAGGGAGTGAAAGCTCAATGGCTATCGGCTTTAGAATACCAGTCTTAGTATAAAAGAAAACAGTCCTAGAGGCATAAGCTTTTCTCCCTGGCAAAGAGTTCATACCCTTCATAAATGGCAAAAGCATGTCGTGGTAATCGAGCATAAACAATCTCATTTCCTCAATAGCCTACAACATCAAACATAAAAAATAGCAGAGTTAAAGAACAAGAAACAATTCTATTAAGGTGAGAAATCTTCCGGCTTCTGGTTTAAGTATTGGAACAACAGATAAGAGGAAATGTGAATCTACTCAAGTAATGCGCATGAACACAGTACCCTTTCCACACTCATTTCAGGAAGTTCTTGCTGTATCAGTTCCTTTGTGATTGCTGATTCAGGAGGACCATAAATTCCAGGATCTAGTTTGCTAACAATTGGAAATTCCTGAAAATCAGAACCATTGGTAATTTCAACAGACATCTGAAAAAGCCTAATCTACACAAAATAATAGATCGCAAATTGTATCAAACAATAACCTTCAAAATCTCAATATTAACAGGGTTGACCCCAGCTAAAACTTGGCGACCAAACTCATTGTCTCGCAGCCATGCAAATCTGTCCCCTGGAAGCAGAAAGCACAATGTGAGTGCAAAAAAGGAAAAATGATGCTTCATGACTGACTGGAAATTATTTGAGACTGGTTACATTATGCAATAGATATGGTGTGAACCAAGCTACTTACTTTTTACAACAGCAGGTATGTCATACTTCAGCAATCGCGGGCCAACACCGGTTACTTGTTTCATCATATTTTCCAACAGATTTCCAATTTCATTATTCTCATCATCCTTCAAGACAACCCCCTCATTATATAGTTTGTCAATGTCAGAAAAACACATAAATGGAATATCTGAACTTGACAATGTAGCGGCAATTAACGGTATAAGATTATGCAGAAGCGCTTTCATCCTCCCAGCTGAGAAAGTGTTCTGCTTTATCTCCTCAAACGTCTCATCCCGAGGTACATACACTGGATGGGGCTTTTCAATTCTACTTTCAGAAAGTGGATCTAAAAGAATTCATCACATTCAGCAAATAGTCAATCATGTGTAAAACTGCAGAACAAAGATTTTATTGCTGAAAATTGAACCAAGAAGAATACATTACCAGTCTTGGTTGGACGACGACCTGTTCTACAACGCCTGGGATAAGGCCTTTCATCACCACCAAGGACTGGCCTAGCAAGGTCTTGATCTTTATCAGGATTACCCAAGTCATTATAAACATCATAGTCATAAATCCTGTCATGATGCTTCCTTTCACCCTTTCCATTACCACGAATGCTTAGTATGTCTTCCCGTCTTAGATCTTTGATACCAGCTGGTGTTTGTGATGGTAAATATGTCTGTTAAGAATATTGCCGCACATTAATCAAGCAAAACCCTTTATTATAACACAAAGAGAATCAAAACTCAAAAGCACAGACTTCTCTTACACACTCCTTACTTGATTTCTGAAGATAATTCTGCTTTCAGGATTATCATTCCGAGAATGAATCCATGTATTCGCAGGGAAGAACAGAGGTCCTCCATCGAACCCATGAATGACAATTTCCACCAAGTAGAATTCTTTGCCTTGAAAGTTGGTAATGAGAACAGCTCCAGGGTTACCAAAGTCAGATGGTACAGTGAAATCAGCTGTATATTCAATAATGTGTGAATGCTCCGAAGGCTTTGGCACCCATCCCCTCACAAATGACTCCACACTCTTCCCTGAGTTGGTAACTGCAGAAGCAAATAAAAGACGAAAATAATTGAGATATCACCCAAATTCAAACACTTATGCAAAAGGAACACGGAGGGATCTTAAAGAACATAAAGTAAAGTCCGAAGAATTAAAAAGGGATAGGTTTTTGGTTTTCAGCTTAAAGAACATAAAAGATAAGGAAGGAATAGGAAAAGAAATTCTACTTTATGAACAGAAAAAAAAAGAAGAGAGAGAGAGAGAGAGAGAACAGATTCACTGATCCTTCTTTTCTCCCCAAAAGATCCAAATACACCATGCTTTGTTTCTACCATATCTAAAGCCAAATCTATCAAAGTTTCAAACTTGAAAAATGCAAGAAATCGAAGAACACTAACAAAAACAAAACAAACCCTTCATAGAACACCCCAAATCCAATATGCTGCAGTTTCACAGTCAAGTATTAAGCAATTAAGTACCCATGAAAGCAACAACTATAACTTGATTAGAAACCAGAAGAAAAAACAAAAAGCAACCCAGAAAAAGGTAGAGGGAGAGGAAATGGTTAAACAAACCGGGATCAATCTCTTCACTGATGAGCTGAATCAGTATTTTCTGACCAAACCCACTCATTAGAAGTTCCCATTGATGCTCAATCTTTTCCGTGATCTTCTCCTTCATCTTCTTCCTTATTGTCACCACCGCCCGCACTTCAATCCCGTCTTTCGCCTGAGAACCGGATGCCATGGACCCATTCACGTCCTTACCCTCCACTAACTTGCCAGCTCCCTCCACCGCCTTGTCTTCACTACTGATCACGGCCCGAACGGTAAGGCAGGACGCCGAGTACCACCCCGAGCGGGACATCCGGGACAACCGGGAAACCCCATTTACGGCCGGAGCTCGCCGGAGTGGATTGCCGAAAAAGGTTGACTTAAATGGAGAGAGTGGCTTGAGTGCAAACATGTTTCCCGTGGAAAGTTGATTTTTGAAAAATGGTAAAATTGGAGGATCTTATACACGGAAAGCGAGACACCGAAGCTATTTCCAGAGAAGGAAGGATGTCGTTTTGTTGGCTTTGCAATGCCGTTTCGAGGTGTGCTACGTATAATACATTTTTTCTTTTTAACATTAGATAATTAGATGTTTGGCATAACAATAATTTAAATATTAAATTTTAATCTCAAAATTAAGATTTTTAATTTAATAGGTCTTGTTGGTAATTGTAATGGAGTTTTTTTACCAATGCCTAGCAACACATATAATGCAATTTTTCATTAATTTATAGGGCTGCTTGTTTTTCAATTTAAACTATATCAAACTATAAAATTAAAATTATTAGACGAGAAAGGATAATTATGTGTCACTCTCTTCAAATTTAAAGAATATTATTTTACAGTTTAATACAATTTATAATTTATAAAAGTGTTTGAATTATTATTTTAAAAACAATTATCAATTATTAACTCTAATTAAATAGATTAAATATTTTAAATTATAAATAATAAACGTTATCAATTATTAGATATTATCTATCAATTGTCAAGTTCATTTAAACCGCTAATCCAAACACTTTCTATACAAGAGACACAAAAATCAATATTAATTATAGTATCAATATTATAATTTTAATTAATTAAATTAAAATTAT